GGGCGGTTTCTCTCCATCGCGTTTCTTTGGAGAGGGCTGTTTTGTGTAAGGGAAGCCTGTTGCGGTTTTATCTGTCAGATAAAAATGTTGACTGCCGGCGACGGCCGCATATAAAATAATGCTTACACCGAGCTCGCAGGCCCTAACCCTGCATTTACCACCGGGCTGAGAAGGGAGAGGGCCGTTTAAGCTGTAATTAAGGGAGGATCAAAGAGAGCCAATTAAAAGTTGCAAAAGGTGCCCGTTCTTGTTTCCTTTCTGTTGGGCTGTGGCCGTGAGCACACCTACAGGTGCGTCTCTGAAGTTTGGTCGGGGTGACAGTTTGGACAGGAACTGGTCCAAGTCCCTGTGGCAGTGGCCACAGCCCCGACTTCAGCCCTGGAGCGTGTACCCAGCACCTGGGACTCTGAGCAGGGAGATAGAGCAGGTGTCAAACAGTACGGAGCTTCAGCCCGCTGAGGTTTTCCCCAGCTTTGTGAGCTAGGTAGAGAAAGAGCCCCACCCAAGGGCTTTCTCCCTTACCCCAGAGGCTTTCCTGAAAGTCGAGGAGGTCTCACCAGGGGCGGAGCCTGCTGGAAGCCCTGCTCCAGCCGGGGTGGGTTGAAGCTTGTACACAGTAAGGCGATGCAGGCGAGCAGCAATCAGACTGAGACCTCGATGCTCTTTAGCATGTTCTCAGCCGACTACAGTTAGAGCCAGCTCAAGACTGCAGCCCCAGTGGCTATCAGACATACGTATTTATTGAGGGATGTCTTACAGGAGTAGGAGGGGTGAGGAGGAGGTAAAAGATGTACTCTAAGAAATGAGGTGTTCATAGCACAGGAACAGTAATCATAAAACATGTCTGTCTTGTTTAACTAGGTAAAATCAATCACAGTTCTCAGCATGAGGGAGTCCATCTATCTGGTGCACTTTCTTAGATCTTGATTACCAGGAAGGGGCTTTTGCAGGAAGCTTGATAACTTCAGTCCTGGGCCAGCGCGGCAGCATTGCCGGTTACAAAGGCCTATATAGAAATCTTGTCTTGTTAAGTAAAGACACGGTTAACATGTACTAAAGTGGAATATCTATATTACAGCTAAGGGGGGGAGCCTATTGTCCATATGGGAAGGAATGTGGTCTTGCGAGCAGCTTAATGACTGACCTAAAGGTTACTGTGTACTTGGGACCCTCTACGTGCTGCTCTGTACAATGGCTGTGGCTTGGGGAACAGATATCTTCCCTTGTCCTGAGCTCAAAGGGGGCTCATGGTCTTTGTTTGGGGTATCAGTGCCTTGCGGCTGAGCCCCTGAGCCTCCCTCAGCTACTGAGGTCGTTTCACCAATTTAGCAGCTTTCCATTAACTCAACCTTTTCTAATGCTATCTGTGTAACCCCAGTAGGAGAGGTGACTGCAGCACTCTTTATTGACATTTTCCAGGCAGGTGGGGTGAGTCTCAGGAGATAATTCCCGTTCACCGCCACGTTAGGGATCCGCATTCCTTCAGGATTATTGTAAAAGTTATAGTAAGGTTGGGGGTGTTATTTTGCCCCTATGGGGTACCGTCAGTAAAGCTCATGGCAGAGAAATTGAGCACAGACCAGTACAGCAACACAGAGAATTGGAACTCGTAACTGTGGACCTTGCTTACAGCTCTTCTCAGCCCAGCCTTGCTTAGGCATGAGAGGCAGCTCCCCATGTTCTGCCTGTGCTAGCTGTATGGCTCCATCACGAGCCCGAGATGAGAGTCGCAACCGGCAACCCCGCTGTAGTCCGCAGTGCACACTCGTGGCTGCCCGTGCCTGCCGCAGGTGAGGGTGGAGAGGCTGCCCGGAAGTGAGCTGGCCCTGGCAGCCTGCTGCATTGCCGCTCCCTGGGGATCTGCGGGCTCAGAATAGTTTCTGACCCAGGCAGTTTGTCTCTGTGCTCACTCTGAGTAGGCCTCTTCCAGCTAATTACATTTTTGCATAGAGGTTGTTGTCTTTGGGCTTTGAATGTATCAGGTTTTAAAATGAACAGTCCTAAGCCTAGTTTTCTTTTATTAGGTTCCTGCCTTGCCTTCACCAGAGAGAGGGACAGACACAGTGAGAGGGAAAGTGAGAAATCAACTCCCAGGGGGGTGGCCACCCTCCATCCCTTCTCCGTTCTCCATTCTCCTCCTGGGATCCTGGGCATGCACTCACATGTGCCTGGCATGAGTTTCAAGCCGTGGGTCTGGGACTTGAACCATGGACAGCCATGTGGAAGTCCAGTGATGTAACTGCTATGCCATCTGCTGGCCTCACTTGCTATTTTTTAAAAGAATTATACATTTGAGGGACCAGCAGTTAGCGTAACGGCTATGTCGCTGGACTCCCACGTAGTCGACCGCGGTTCGCGTCCCGGACCCAGTGACTTAAACTCACGCCGAGCGCGTGTGCGTGCGTGCCCAAGATCCCTAGAAGAGAATGGAGGAGAAGGGATTGTGGCGTGGCCATCCCCCCTGGGGGGTGATTTCTCGCTATCTCTCTGTCTCTCTCTGGCAAGCGCACGCGCCCTATAGCAAAAACCTCTTCAAAAAAAAAATTATATATTCAAGAGACCAGCAGGTGGCGTGGTGGTTAAAGTGCTGGACACTCCCACATGACTGAGTTCGATTAGAGTCCTGGACCTGGTGGCTGGCTTTCTCATTTTCCCTCATCTCTCTCTCTCTGTCTCTCTCTGATCAAATTAAAATAAATGAATGAATAAAGTTAAATAATCCTTAAAAAAAGAATTATATATTTTATTTGATTGATTAGTTTTTTTCTTTTAACTTGTACTGCTCATGTGCATTCACCAGAGAGACCAAGCAAGCAAGCTGCCGGTCCGACGAAGCGTGGTTAGCCTTCACCGCCATGCCACCTGCTGGCCCCGCCTGGCGGACACCATACAATCCCCTGTCCTTCATTTCTTCATCCTGTCAGGATTTAAGACACTCATCTACAGTCGCCTGGTGTGTTTTCCAGCCACCACCAGATGAGGCTGGTATCCAAACTGTGGTTGGCCACATGGGATCCTCTGCCGCAGGGCCAGCCGGTAACTCGGAGCGAGGCTCCGCTCTGAGTCTCCCCTCGCGTCTCCACTGCCCTCCTGCACTTCTCCCCATCTACGCCGTCTCTGTCTTTGGCTCTGGAACTTGTCAGCACCTTAGAATTAACGTGGAGACTTGAATAAGTACTTGGGTCCCACCCTCAGGGATTCCGATCTAATTGGTCTGCAAAGTAGGGTGGGCATCTGCCTTCTTAAGGATGGGTCTGATGCTTGGGAACCACTGGTTATGTTACTTGTGTGAACTGCTTGTAGGCCTGACTTTTATTTAAAGAATTATTTTAATTAATTAATTAAAAATTTTTGACTGGAGGGACGGGGGAGGGGGGCAGAGGGGAGAGAGAGAGTGAGAAAGCAGGCTGCCAGGTCCAGAACCTGAATCTCAGCCAGCCATGTGGGGGTCCAGTGCCCTTAACCACCATTCCACCTGTTGGCCCCTTGAGGCCTGATTTTTACTAACATGTGCAGTAATAAATAATGGTTTTTGATTAATTGCATGCGCTGTTTTGTGTGTGTGTGTTTTTTTTTCCCCTCTGTCCCTCTGCCCTGCACATACCTGCCCATCCCAGGGACGCCCGCTGGCGGTGTGCGTGGCCCGGTCCTCAGACAGCCTGAGTGCGGCGCCTTTGGAGTGCTCCAGACGCCGTTCTGTTTGGTGTCTTTTGTACTTTTTTAATTTTGTACTTTTTTTATTTTTTTTTTCAATTTTTGCTATAAGGCATGTGCACTCACTGAGGAGACAGAGAAAGTGAGAAATGGGGGCGGGGCGGGGGGGGCATGGCCACGCCGCAGTCCCTTCTCTGCTGTCTCCTCTCGGGATTCCGGGCACGCAGGCACACACTGCCCGGTGTGGTTTTGAAGCCCCTGGGTCCAGGACTCACACCACACAGCTGACCATGTGGGAGCTGTGCTTTAACCTCCACACCTTCTGCTGGCCTTGCCCTGTAAGTGTTTATGGTTTTATATTTTACGTTTCAGTCTGTGATCTGTCGTAAGTTCATTTCGTTGTTTATTTTTTTAAAAAGTTTTTCAATATTTGACTTTATTTATTTTTGGAGAGGTTTTTCATACAGGATGCGTGTGCTTGCTAGAAAAACAGACAGACAGAAAGAGAGAAATAACCCCCAGGGGGGATGACCACACCACAATCCCTTCTCCATTCTCCTCTTGGGATCTTGGGCACGCACGCACGCATGCATGCTCGTTGTGAGATTAAGCCACCAGGTTCGGGACTTGAACCGCAGTTGACTAGATGGGAGTCCAGCGACATAGCCATTACGCCAACCGCTGGTCCCTGTATTTATTTATTTTAATTTGACCAGAAAGAGACAAAGTAAGAGAAAGCAAGCTACCAGGTCGAGGATTTGAACCACAGCCGGCCATGTGGCAGTCCAGTGCCCCTAACAACCATGCCACCTGCTGGCCCTGAGTTCATTTAGCTTTTATATGCAGTGTGAGGTGCAGGTTGAGAGTTTGTTCATTATTTCTTTCTTTTCTTTTCTTTTTTTTTTTTTGCATTTTTTTTTTTTTTTTTTGCCTTTTTGGATATCTGGTTATTCCAGTGCCACTTGTTGAGCACATTTGTATAATATTAATGGTGATAGTATTCATTAATTTTAATTTGGAAGTTTGCTGGATACACAATAATCTTTGAAAAAAAAAAAAAGCTAGCCCCAGCAGGTAACATGGTGATTGGCACGCTGAACCCCACGTGGCTCATTTTGTGGTTCGATTCCTGGATCTGGTGGCTTAAAAAAAGATGTTGAGTGGGCTGGCAGGTGGCATGGTGGTGAAGGGTGCTGGACTGCCACATGACCTGACTGTGATTCAAGTCCTGGAACTGACGGCTTGCTTCCACTCTCCCTCTCTCTCACTCTGTCCCTCTCAGGTCAAATTAAATGAATGAATAAATAAAGTTAAATAAAATAATTATTAAAAAAAATGTTGCGTGTGTATGCACATGTGCCCAAAATCCCAAGTGGAGAATGAAGAAGGAATTGCAGCATGGCTAACCCCACTGTGGGGTGATTTCTCTCTGGTGAGGGCACGTGCCCCTTGGCAAAAATCTTATAAAAAAAGAGTAAAGTAATGAGAGGCTTTAGAAAGTCTATACCTTTAATTTTATAAAACTGGAATTTGCTTAGTTGCGTGTTAATTTAGTGCATTTTTTTAAAGGTCTCACAATTCCGCCCTCCGAGAAAGTCTTGCCATGACTGGATAGGACCTCCAGACAAATACTCAAACCTTCGACCTGTCCATTTTTATATCCCTGAAAATGAATCAGCATTGGAACAAAAACTTAGAGAATTAAGACAAGAAACACAAGAATGGAATCAACAGTTCTGGGCACACCAGAATCTGTCTTTCAGTAAGGTAGGTCTGCGTCTTAGATAAGAGTGTGACGTGAGAGTCGGCCACGTGGGGGCTGCCCCTTAGGGTCTGCTCGGCCTTTCTTTCCTGGTAGTGTCTCAGCCCCTCCTTCCGTCTTCTCCCCTCCCACGTGTGTGCGTGTGCGCGCGTGTAGCCACACATGAGGTTTGTGGGTCATTCCTACCATCACAGCTCTTGAGACTTTCCAGGAAGTCAAGTGAGGAGCCGAGGCAGAACGGGAAGTACTGTTTGATGTGGGAGTGTTTCTGAAAATGGACGTCTGCAAAGGGGCATCAGTGCTGTCTGAGACTTCAGAGTTCTTAACTTCATGCTCCTAAATGAGAAAGAAATATAAATATTCTAGTCCAGAAGAAAAACACTTACACTTTGTTTATGCCTTTGGGTGACCTAGTTCATGTGGAGTGGATCCTCTTCTGTGTGTTTATAAATAATGCCTCCTAAAGCTTATTGAATGTTTCCCTTTTTAAAAAAGAATTATTTATTTTATTTGTTGTTATTATTATTCAGTTCAACCAGAGAGAGGCAGAGAGAGAGGAAGCAAGCTGCCAGGTTCTGGGACTCAAACCGTGGTTGGCCATGTGGGAGTCCAGCTCCTTAAACACCGTGCCACCTGCTGGCCTTGCAAATTTATATAATTTAAAATGGGCTTTTAGGGAACCAGCAGTTAGTGTAATGGCTATGTCGCTGGACTCCCACGTAGTCGACCGCGGTTTGCGTCCCGGACCCGGTGGCTTAAAACTCACGCCGGGCGCGTGTGCGTGCGTGCCCAAGATCCCGAGAGGAGAATGGAGGAGAAGGGATTGCAGCGTGACCATCCCCCCTGGGGGGTGATTTCTCATTTTCTGTCTCTATGTCTCTCTCTCTGTCTGTCTGGTGAGCGCACGCGCCCTATAGCGAAACCAAAAAAAAAAGGGGGGCTTTTGTGTTGTCCCACAGCACAACGGTTAAGCCCTGTCCATAGGGTGCCGGATCCCACGTGGCTGAGCACACGCGAGTGCCTCTGTGCCCCGACCCTGATGGCATGGAGAAAGGGAGGAGACGGGGCAGCAGAGCCGTGCCCCACGGGGGTGCTCTTGCTCCCAAGGTGGCCAGCACACCTGCCCTGTGGCAGTAGCGGAAACGGGGAGCGGGTTTTGAGAGGGGCCATTTCTCAGAAAGCCCACAACCAGGCTTCTCCAGAATGCTGCGGGCTGCGTTGGAGCTGAGGGAGGGGGAAGGCTGGGAGGGAGGTTCTGACGGTCTATTTCTTTCAGGAGAAGGAAGAGTTCATTCACTCGAGACTGAAGGCTAAAGGCCTGGGGCTGAGAGCCGAATCAGGTGCGTTCACGGTGGCACTGTGGCCGAGGTCGGTGAGGAGCTCCCGAGGTAAACCCACCTGGCTGCTGAGCAGAGCAGAGGAGGCGGGGTGGCACCAGCGGCCTCTCCCCTCTCCCCCGGAACACACCCCTGCCCCCGCAAGCCTCACTGCAGCCTGGGCGGCCTCCCTCTTCCCAGCCCCTCCTGCCTTCCTCACTTGCCTGCCAGCGCCCTTGCTCCCTGGCCTCCCTCTGTGTGACGGCTCCCTGTGTGGTCCTCGGTCATTCTGTTGGGTGACCGACCCGACCTCTGGGATCTTATCCCCAGGCCCCATGGCCGCTGCATTCTCTTTGTCTCCCATAATAGCTCCTCTTCCTGGATTCCCCATCTCAGTTCATAGCCCTGGATCCTGTGAGCCAGAAACCAGAGTCACGTTGCAGGTGTGCCCCACCCCCATCTCTGTGCAGGTCCCCTCCAGGTCATTTCTCAGCACTGCTGTGCCCTGTCCGAAGACCAAGCTTTGGTTCAGGCCCTCGTTCATGCCTGTCACAGTAACTCCCTAACTAGTTCCCCGGCGTGCACCTTGGGAGCAGAGGTCGGCCACCCTCTAGGTTGGCTAGAATAGCAGCCACAGGGGTCTCTGTTGCAGCTGCTTAGCTCTACTGCTGTAGTGTGGGAGCAGCCATAGAAAATACGGAAACGGGCTGGCAGACGGCATGGTGGTCCCACAAGGTTGACCAGAGTCTGAGTCCTGGACCTAGTGGCTTGCCTTCTCATTTTTCCTCTCTCTCTCTCTCGTCAAATTAAAATAAAGTTGAATAAAGCAATTTTTTTTATTTTTTGGAAAGGTTTTTGCTTAGGGGGTGTGTGTTCTCCAGAGAGACAGAAAGCGAGAAATCATCCCCTGGGGGAATGGCCACACCGCAATCCCTTCTTCTCCATTCCTCTCTCGCGATCTTGCGCACACACGCACATGCGCCCAGAGTGAGTTTAAGCCACTGGGTCTGGGACTTGAACCGCAGCCGACTACATGGGAGTCCATTGATATAGCCATTATGCCAACCGTTGGTCTCCAATAAAATAATGTTTAAAAAAAAGAAAAAGAAAATACGAAAGAGATGGGCTTCTGTGTGTTCAATAAAGTTTATTTACAAGAGCAGACTGCAGGCGGGGTTTGACTGTCGGATATAGCCTGTCATCCCCTGTCTGAAACCCCTCGTGTGCACCACAGCCGGAGCCAGGTGTTTCTGCCACAAAGGCAGTTCTGGCATTTGCTGCTCAGCCGAGGCACACAGGCTCCCCCAGACTGCAGAACGTTAGTGTCGTTCCTCCTCTGAGCGGGGCACCTGCCGGGCCAGCCCTGCCCAGCCCTGCCCAGCTCCCACCCACCATAGCTGGTCCTTGAGCCACCAGGCTGCTCCCTGCTCCCTCGCCTACTGTGCGGTCGTTTTTTCTGGACAGAAAGTCTCGTGCTCAAGATTCCCTTGAGTCCCTTTCTCCCAGTGTTGATGTGAGGCCTGAATAGTACTGCCTGGTGTTTGTTAAAGATGTGGACAGTTCAGATGTTATTTTGAAGAGAAATCTAAAACTGTTGGCCTCAAAAACGAAGTCTGTCAGTAGGCTTGTAAAAAGAAATACCCAGCCACTTTAATTTAGTGGAATTTTTTTTTTTTTTCTCGCTATAGGGTGCGTATGCTCGCCAGACAGACAGACAGAGACATAGAGACAGAAAGCGAGAAATCACCCCCCAGGGAGGATGGCCACGCCGCAGTCCCTTCTCCTCCATCCTCCTCCTGGGATCTTGGGCACACACGCGCGTGCCGCACGCACACGCACGCGCGCAGGCGTGAGTTTTAAGCCACTGGGTCTGGGACGTGAACCGTGGTCGACTACGTGGGAGTCCAGCGACATAGCCATTACGCTAACTGCTGGTTCCCTAATTTAGTGGAATTTCATTGAGCAATTTTTTTAAAATTAAGAATTATTTAATTTTTTAAAGAATTACTTTATTTATTTATTTATTTTTTTGAGAGGTTTTTGCTATAGGGTGCGTGCGCTCACCAGACAGAGAGAGACATAGAGACAGAAAGCGAGAAATCACCCCCCAGGGGGGATGGCCACGCTGCAATCCCTTCTCCTCCATTCTCCTCTCGGGATCTTGGTCTCGCACGCACACGCACCCGGCGTGAGTTTTAAGCCATCATATATATATATATTTTTTTGAGAGGTTTTTGCTATAGGACGCGTGCGCTTGCCAGACAGGGAGAGACAGAGTGACAGAGAGAAATCACCCCGCAGGGGAGATGACCACGCCGCAATCCCTTCTCCTCCATTCTCCTTTCGGGATCTTGGGCATGCACGCACACGCTCCCAGTGTGAGTTTTAAGCCACCAGGTCTGGGGTGCGAACCGTGGTCAACTACATGGGAGTCCAGCGACATAGCCATTGCACTAACTGCTGGTCCCTTTATATTTTTTAATTTGACCAGACCAGAGAGGAACAGAAAGAGAGAGGGAGACTGAGAAAGCAAGTTGACAGGTCTGGGATTTGAACTGTGGTTGGCCATGTAGGAGTCCAGTGCCCTTAACCACATGCCATCCGCTGGCCCCTATTTTTTAATTTGTTACAGGGCACATGTACTCACCAGAGAGACAGACAGAGAGAGGAGGGGGAAAGAGAAAGCAAGCCTCCAGGTCTGGGACTTGAGCCACATTCAGCCATGTCTAGGAGAGAGAGAAGGCACAGTGGGGATAGTCACACCCTCTCAGACCCCACCTCTATGGGGCTGTGGTCAGCCAACAGCACAGGACAGGGCCTGGCATCAGGCTCCTCAGCTCCCCACCCCCTATCCTGATGAGCACAGGCTAAGGGCCAGCCAGGAGAGAGCGCTTTAGCCTCCGTTTCTGCAAGCAGCTCCAACCTCATTATCATAGAAAAAGCTGGGTGCTTTCTTTTCTTTTCTGGGCTTCAGTCAGTCACAGGCCTTCGCCTTTTAAACTGTATTAATGCAGACAAACATTGGAATGTAACCAACCAAAATTGGTTTTTTTGTTTTTTTTTTTTGAGAGATTTTTGCTATAGGGCACATGTGCTCACCAGACAGACAGAAAGCGAGAAATCACCCCCCAGGGGGGATGGCCACACCGCAGTCCCTTCTCCATTCTCCTCTCGGGATCTTGGTCACGCACGCACACGTGCCCGGCGTGAGTTTTAAGTCACTGGGTCAGGAACTCGAACCGCGGTCTACTACGTGGGAGTCCAGTGACATAGCCACTACGCTAACTGCTGGTTCCCCCAAAATTGTTTTTTTTTACCTCATTCCTTTTCATTTTTGTATGTCACTTTCCCTTTCTAGAACTTAAAATACCGAGTTGATCCTGAGGCTACCCAGAATTCCCAGGAGTTGGTCTGGGAAAACTGCCCGATTTGAACCGTGTCAAGTTTTGCTCAATTGGGGGCCAACAGGTGGCATGGTAGTTACGTCACTGGACTTCTACAGGGCCAACTGCAATTTGAGTCACGGACCCAGTAGCTTGAAAATCACGCCAGGCACATGTGCCTGTGTGCCCAAAAGCCTGGGAGGAAGATGGAGGAAAGGGGATTGCAGCATGGCCTTGGCTAGGGGTGACTTCTTACTTTCCCTTTCACTGTCTCTCCTGGCAAGCACACACATCCTCTGGCAAAAGCCTCTCAAAAAAAGTGATTTTGTCTGAACTTGTCATGACAGTGTGCTGAGCAGCAGGGACCCGGGAGCTGCCACCTGCAGCTGCTCATAGCAGTCGGCATGGGGGGCAGGCTGCACCGTGTCAGCCGCCAGCCACGGGCTGCCAGGTTTCCCACGGAGCATGGGACTCCGGAGGCGCTCCGCACGGGCACCATAGTTAACACCGCGTCGTATCCTTGGAAAGTGTGGTTGCAAAGTGTCCTCACCGCCTGGTGGTCACACTGTGTGGGAGACCGCGACTTCAGTGCAGGTGGCGTGTGTCCATGCCGCAGTCCTGCCTCCTGCAGGAAGTGGTTCAGTACAGTGAGGAGCTTGAAAGGAGGCCCTGTTCCCGTACCCTCTACAGCAGTGCTGTTGGCATTGTTCTGCTTTTGTTTGTTTTTCAAGTCAGTGATTTTTTTTTTAAACTTTATTTTAAAATTTTTTTGGGGGGGTCCCATTTATAAATAAAAAATTTATTTTTAAGTTTACATTTAATTACACGTATCTTCACAGTGTACATTTCTTTTTCCTGCATGGGTACTATGTTTATCAGTCAAGACAAAGATATTACTGTATACATTATCATCGCAAACAGCTTCTCATTTTTTTGTCAATTAAACGTACTTTTACTTTTTTTTCTTCCCCTTTTCCTCCCCCCTATACTAAACTGGTTCTTTTTATATTTTATTGTTTCATAAAAGATCTTAATTAAACTAAAAATATGGATAGACCTAAAATCTAGTGACAAGTGCACTGTGATTTTCTTCTGAAACATTTTTTCCCCTTTCCACTCCCCCTTTTACTAAAGAGACATAGCCATTATGCTAATTGCTGGTCCCCCTTGTTTGCATTGTTTCCAATGAGTGTTCCAATGTTAATATTATGGGATATCCTTTGAAAGTAACTTGACGTTTCTCTCTTGCCAGTTTTAGTATCTTGTCTCTGTGGTTCTGGTCAGTCTGGCTATGATGTGTCTTGGAGAAGATCTTGGGTTGATTCTGTGTGGTCCTTTGTATTTCTTGGCTCTGGATATTTGAGTGCCTCTCTAGGTTTGGAAAGTTTTCTTCCCATCATAGAATAGATTATCAATGCCCTTAGCAGTTTCTCCACTTTTTGGGATACCGATTATTCAGATGTTTGGGCATCTAATGGCATCTAGAATTACTCATATATTATTCTAATTCTTCTGGGTTATTTTTTCAGTCTCTTTGGTGAATTTTTGTAGGTCAGAGGTTCTATCTTATACATCTGAGATTCGATCTGCATGATCTAGTCTGCTTTTAATACTTTGAAGGGAGGTTTTGATTTCCTGCATTACAGCCTTCACCACTTACAGTTCCATTTGACTCTTTTTTATGGTGTGTAATTACTCTTCCAGATCATGGAAGAACTTCCTCACCTCCTGGAATTTGGTTTTTTGTTTTATTCCTGCATCTTCTTAAGTTCATTGTCTCTCTTCTCTTGCATCTTTGATAGGTTTTATCACTATGAATATTCTACATTCTTTATCTGGCATTCCCACGAGTTCCATTGTACTGTCTGTGGATGAGGAGGAGCTGTTCTTTTCCCTTGGGGAAAGATATTTTCTTGGTTTTTCATATTTTTTGTGCTTATACGGTGGTCTCTGGTCATCTGATGGATAATACATTACTTCCTAACCTTCTTGGATGTAATTCTGAGCGTTAGAGGCGTCGTGTGACAGGAGACGACCCGCAGTCTCTGCAGTTTCATTTCCCTGATGTTCACCAAGCAAACTGCACTTCTCTCGATGGAAGTGGATATTACAAAGGCCTCCCACTTGCTAGAAAACGGGCACCTGGGCTGAGCTGCGGGTTCCAGCGGAGAATTGAGCTCAGGAGGAGCTGAGCCGGGGGAGGAGCTGAGCCGTTGGGGAGGAGCTGAGCCGTTGGGGAGGAGCTGAGCCGGGGGGAGGAGCCGAGCCATTGGGGAGGAGCTGAGCTGGGGGAGGAGCTGAGCCGGTGGGGAGGAGCTGAGG